TTCTTCTAGGGAACAGGTTCTTAAAAGTATAATGGATGCACTCGCATACACATTAGAGCAGCTAATGGCCGCGTTACTGATCTTCATTCACTATTATCATATAAATTTGCTTTTGATTGGACATTCAAACGAATGAGGTTTCTGTGAGATGTAAACATTCTCATTGTCAGTTCATTCCGTATGAATCAGCACGTACAACAGGATTAGTTTGTATAGTTATTATTCACAAGTACACGGATACAGAAGAAGGCAAGCAATGATCACCAATCACTTCAGATCACATCACAATCATTTACGTCGTTGGGTTCGCTCGATATCATCCCAGAAACAAGTCTTCATGTTTTCGAACCGATCGAAACACGCTAAATACGTGATGTCCAGCTGAGTGACGATACCTGAGATTGCAATTATTATAAGGGATTCGCTAGAAGCTCGTGCAAATAAATGATAGCAAGTAATCAATGAAGAGCGATAGCAAAAGTTTTTGAGGTTTGAAATCGAATCGTTCCAAGTTTCAGGTGGAAAAAGAACAGAAGCAACGAACCGGGACGTTGATCGCAGAAGACCAAGCACTTATCTCCAGCAATAGTGTTGGTCACACCATTGCGAATACAACACTCACGATGGTCACGGCCTTGTGCTGCACAATACTGCATCTCTCTCATTGCCTCCAGAGGACATGTATCTTGCTTGAAGAACATTGCTGTCAACTGAAATATTTATTCCATTTCAGGCATCATTCTATCGATGAGAAATGCTTGTGAGAGAGTTGACGGTTGGTTGTATTCTCATTAATGGCTGTTGATAGTTGCAGATGAACCTTACCGCCTGCTTCGTATACGAATGAAAATTGCACTTTTGAAGGCACGCATCCGGTAGCTGTCGATCCATACAACAACTCAAGAAGGCTTCGTTCGGACTCTGAAAGTACGAATGAAATACGTGACAATATGCTGGATATATAGATTTTGTTGGCATTTGATGAAAGATTGAGATATCTGAACGAGTGAATGTTATTGAGTGGATTAATTGCATTAGATAACTACAATTTTAGGTCGGTTTGGAAGCTACGTTAGGCACTCACGTACCACAGCAACGTCTGCATG